TCTTTCGCTACTTTTCGTTCTCTGTCATTCCATGGCAGTTATTTGAAATTATTTATTATATTGCTTTTTGTAATATTTTAATATCTAAGTTTTTGTGAGCTTTTGCTTTCTCTTTTTCTTGTTTTTGTTTTGAATATCATGCTATCTCTATCTTTTTTTTCCGTCTCTGTAGTTTTTTTATTTGCTGATATTTTTATATCTGTCCCTTTTCATTTCTTCTTTTTCTTACCTTTTTTATATTTGTTTGCGAATACGAGACATTTTCTTTGTAGGTATGTTTTAATTGTTTAACATTCATATTAGTATTTGAATGGCTGGATAGATAAATGAATGGTTGGTTGGATGGATGGATAATCAAATACCTTCTGCTTGCACAGTATTTGGGTTATTTTTGCACAATGGTTGTTGAATTGATGCATTGGTGCCTGCTTGTTTGGACGGATGTCTTTCGTTTGCTCCTTTCTTCATGCCTCCTTTTTTGCTTCATCCATCTTTGACATTTCCTTCCGCTTATCTTTAACCTTTGTTCATGTTATTTTTATTCTAATTATCCATTTTTTCTTTTGTCTTCCGGATTTTTAACACATCTACTTTGTTCGCTTTTCAGAATAATAGACGCTCCTATTTCTGTTTTTATTTATCTTGTTCTTTTTAGCCTCCTCTTATTACCAAAATGGGATCGACGATGATTGTCATACATGAGACCCAGTATTTTTCCTTTTATACCCTTTTTCGTGTCACATAACACCAATGCCCACCTCTCGACTGATTAGGCCTTTGACAAGGTACACAACAAATCGATATCGATCGTCTTCACACCTTGACGTGACAGTGCATAAACGTCACTGCTAGACTCTGTCTAATTGCCACGTAATTTGCACTGTTTATCCTCGAAACACCATTTATGCCTGCGTGATTACCTATAGCTAACAGGAGTGCTATAAACAATTGCAAGTCCTTCGTTTTGGTGAACCACCCAACGCCCTGCGGAACGCCTTCCACCCCGCAAGCTGTGCAACCTTTCTTACTCCACCCATCAATACCTCATGGCAATCCTTATTTCCGATGCATGTTGAGGCGTAGTTAACCATACTGAATGGTCTAGTTAAAAAGAGAAACCAGTACCGATAAATAAGCCCATTGTTTAAAGCGATTTTTGCTTACAGAGTCAAGAAGAATAACAAAGCGTCATCAATATTATCTTACATACCAGGACGGAGTTCAACGAAGCATAAGACATGGTTATTCCCTTAAAATGAATAAAACCCTAATCTTTGGGGAAATGTTCCTACAATCATTCATGAATTGCGTGTCTATCCAAGCTGGTAAAGACAATCGTCCTAAACTAGAACTGTGCAAAGAATTTCGTCTTTTCGTTTGAAATAGGTTGAAGTAACATTGTCCAGAGATCCTGAAGTATCGAAAATCTAGAATAGGAAAGTGTGAAGATTACATCTTAGTTGAAAGTTACTAGCATTTATAGGTTGACGAAAGGATAAGACTGCTCTGCTTGTTTACTACCAGTGTCACATGTGTGTGGTACTCAGATTTTCCTGCTTCCATCCAATGTCACAGATGTGTGACATGTGGCTTCTACTAGTTTACGATAACTGTATTTCCTCAAATCATTAACCAAGGGATTGCCTGAGTTTGAAACAGAAAGAATGAAATAAGCTATTCCTCGAATAAGGATAAGTGCATTTTTTACTTCTAAACGAACGCCTCGATCATGCAAATGTAACTAAATAGTGTTAGTGACAACCTAAGGAGAAAAAATTGGATGCTGGGGCTCAACTCTTTCCTGTGAGAGACCCTGCCAGCACACATGTTTGTAGTTGTGGCAAATTGTAGTAATTTGATTAAAAATATTGAAGATACTCACCACAACAGGAGCAGGGCAATACTCGGAGTATTTTCCTAGTAACCATTCCTCATGAAGTCTGTGTACCTCTCTCAGGAATTCCTAAAAGTAAGACTAAGAGACTGCTCAACCCAACAATGACGTAATAATGGAGCAGCTGCAAATTCGTAGAGAAATCTTACAATCGACATGGTATCCTCTCCTGTTCGTTGACGCCTTCGAATTCGTTTCACACAGACCTCGGGTGTGGAGCGAAGATAAACTAAAATAGAGTTCACTGCTTCTAGATCTTGTCGTCTTATCAATAGAACATCATCAGCAACAAGCTGTAGTGGTATTGGCAAAATAGCATTAATTCATGGACAGACATTTCTGCTTTTAAGAAAATAATTTACCAATTAGATCCAACTTGAAAATTGGCAACTGACAACTCCATTCGTAATATTCGTTAAGAATTTCGCAGTCACCATCCGTGAGAACACCACTAAAGAAATTCAACACCAAATAAGCTAAGCAATCAATTAGTTGAACAGGCAAAGGAACCAAATTATACTAACTTTCGTCGATTAACCTCTGTGAAAACATAGCGATTACTGTAAATAGAACGCTCAACGAGCCGAATTTTTGAGGTCTAAAGATATAAAAAGTTGTCATTGTAAAATAATTTTGCGAAATGTTAAATTAGGCTAGGTACCCTTGGCGCCGAATGTTGATTTGCCAACGTCACCATAAGTTGCGCACGATAGGGAGTATTCCACCTGGTCGGATTACTATAAAAATTATCCTTTTTTCATTCTGTTATAAGAGAAAAGGTAGTTACAAATAGGCGGAAGCCTTTAACATTATTCCACTGATCAATAGGCTCAGGAAAAACTTCTACGTTTGGAGAAAGGCTCTCAAAATAGCGAAGAAATGTCGTTTTACCACTACCAACATTGCCTTCGACAGCAATTTGAACAAATCTGAGCAAAAATCTTCGTGAAGGAGCATGTGAATCACCTGTTAGGCATTTGTAACCAACGACAACTAACGGAATAACGCTTTAAAGCATCAATGGAATTTGACTAGCCGCTCTAGCGCATTGACCGAGAAAGGGCGTCTCCAGCCAATGAAAGTTGGCGAATTGGAGACATTCGTAATAATGAAGACTTCAAACAATATGTACTAAATTGCAATTAATAAATGTCGGACAAACCCACTAGTCGTAGCTGCAAAAAAAAATACTTTTTTACTGTTGATAGGCCTAACTCTTGAATTTATCAAAATGCTTAGTAAAATATCGCAAAGATGCTAATATTAATCTGAATTTATTGGACCATATCAAAAGGGACAAATTTTTGTTACTGCATAGTGTACCAATATACTGCTGTTTATTGTGTACCCAAAAGCAATTATTTTTGGCCACTTCATGAATATGAAATTAGATGCACTTCAATATTTACTACAGGAGCAAATATATGTTTATCAAAGAACCCTTTCTGAGGAACAGTCTTAACTCACAATTATGACTATGAATTTAGTGGCTCCATTATTTTTGTGCTCGTATTATGGGCCGAATTTGTAATATTCTGGTATTCTATGTTCCTATAATGTCTCGAATTCGTCAATTTCACCCTTACCCATTATTCAGTTGAAAGTATCCTTTTATCCACCTATAGCATACGAACTTTCGGCTGTCATGGTAGCCAAAAATTTCATGCCGTTATTCGAACATCTAACTTATTAATTGTCAGTACCGACCCGAACATCACGTAAGAAGGTAACAGATTTGGCGTTTCCCGCGTCAATTTCTGCTTTCCGACTCCTGGAATGGGATAAGTATAGAGAGGATGACATTTTATAAAGTATGTTTTGGAGTTGTTAAGGTTTAAAAGAGATGGGAATTTTTTCCTCCTGAGGGGTTAAAAACGTCGGTTCCATCATGTGTTTGGCATTACCTCGACGCTCTGCATTCTGATGAGTTAGAATGTGTAAAAGCATAAGGATGTCCATTCTCCTGGACATTTTTATCTGCTTTTAGGACTAGATTATGGAGGTAAAATTGACAAATCTAAGCCTTTGTTTGATTTCACAGTATTTTAAGCCAAATTCCAATACGTGGTAAAAGAACATCCTAAGTAAACAATTCTAAGCCTTAGATAAGGAAAAACTAATGCATTTTAGTTCATTTGCGTGCCTTCTCGTAGATCATTCTAGTTTTTGGCGTTGATAATCGGGAAGTCTTAGCCACTGAGATTGGGTAGACAGCACAATGTCAATGCTCAAAGCTTTTTATCGCCCTCCCTCCATCCCTCCCACCCTCCTGCACAATAGAAGTAAACGTTTTTCTATGCTAATGCCACATTTTCGCCTTTTAAATATGACTCGGTGTCCCGCCTTTTTTCCAAAATATCACTACATCTTACAAAGTCTCAAAGTTCAATTAATCGGCTCCAGTACCTCAACAACAAAGGTCAACCACATAAACTCATCAAAACAGGACTTTCCATCCTCCGCACGGAGTAGGTCTGGCCAGACAGCTGTCCAAATGGCACTTTTCAATTGCACATTATCATCTAGCCTCCCCTTTCTTCATCCAAAGTCACCCCACCCTACTCCACCGCCACCCTGTATAAGACGGTCTCATCTCTGTCTAGACGTTGAGTAAGTACAGCACAACCCCGATACGAAGCGCGCACACTCCCACCAAAAAATTTTTTAAGCCAGTCGTCCAGTTCCCGCTGTGAGTGGGCAATCAAGAGGTGGCCTCCTAAGGAATCCCCTGAGTGATCGCGATGGCTTGAGGAATCTATTTCTGAACAGATTCTTCCGGCATATGCCAAACCGCGTGCATTCATTGCTTCCTTTAATTTTTTATTAATCCATGGTGCTTTCCGTGTGTCAAGTTTACTGCCAGAATGGAGTTGTCTAAACAGTGGTGGTGGAATAACTAGCCAGAACGATGTTTCGATAGTACCTCAAAGTATTTGTGCGGCTGCATTGGTGCCACAATGAAATTTCATGCACAGAATCACTATTGAATGGAAAAAGATCTTGAAATTGCAAAAATCGAAAGGATTTTAACCTCTCTAGAACTGACCGGAAGTCTTCAGTCATGAAACGTTGATAGTCGTCAATTGACAACAATGACCTTCTCATAACCAAGGTGGTGGTTACCAAAGCCCTGTTACCATCATCCAGCACAAACACCACATTCGATAAATGACGTCTTACCCACCAGTCTATATTCATCATGACCCTTAGTAAGTCATTTACTCACTGGAACACCGTAAACAAAGCGTGTCCCGATGTTAGACCAATCAAACCAGTCGTCATTGGGACAAGGGTAGAGCAGGGGCATCAGCGTACCTTTTTGCTTCCTATCCCTTTATAATAACCTTGTCCTCTCATCGCGTTTTTTTTGTCACAACGCACCACCTATAGACTTTCACGCACCAAATTCATTTGCCGCGCCAGCTGATCGCCGAAAAATCGATAAGCGTTTAATTATTTAATTAAAAAGTTGCGAAGTAATGAAGAAGATCGGAAATTGGTTCATATGGTATCATTTAACCTTGAACGAGCACAACTCTGAGGGGGTGGGGTGGGGGGAGAGGTCTGTAAACGATTCTTCCTAGAGGGTTAAATACACCACCCCTACCCCCCTCCCCCTTCCTTTTCTCCCCCCCCCCCCACCGGACAGGCCTTTTATCTACCGACGCGACGATAATGTATTAACGTAGCTACCTTCATGCCACTGCGGGCCGGGGTGGCTTATTGAAAAGAGCGACGCAAAAGAGGTTTCAGCAAATCAAGTATGCTGGACAAATATAAGTAAGCGCCATTCGTTGCGTCTAGTCTCGAAAATTGGTCTCGTCACTCCAACCGACCACCCTTCAGCATCAAACACCGCAGCAACATTGAAGGTTTTTGATATCAACCACGTGATGGGAAGGGGGATATCACGATGGTCCCCCAAAGCAGAAAGGCGTGCTTGGCTAATAAATATACCAAAAGAAGGTAGTAATCACTTGGAGAAAGATGTTCACCTGATGTTGGACCACGAAGGTCACTTTTCATCACAAATCATTCAGTAAACAAACTTCTTTTTTGAGAGAAGACAGGAACAGCTAAGTAGTCCTTCAAACAGTGGAAGGTATTTGCCCGACCTCGGTGATGTTACGTTATACATGACCAAAAGATCATGACGTGATAATGTCAATAACGCCACGCAAATCCTCGTGATCAAGATCAAAGAGTTCCTTTAAAGCTGATATCTCCCCTTGGGAGTGGATCACCATCAGGATCAAATAGCGTTTCATTTATACCACCATGAGCTACATCTCCTCCGAGTATTATGAAACCTTTTGTGCTAGAAGCCTCTGCCGCCTTGCAACCAAGTTTAGCGCGTCTCGTAAAGCGGACCAGCTTGATCACGTCAGGTCATTCGACGTTACAAAAAGACGCTACAGCAAGCAAGAATGAAGAGAATAAAGGATTTTGATAGACCGATGCTGATGGAGTTCCGTGAAAACATTTGCTTATTTGTTTATACAAACAACACCAAGTAGAACCTTGGATTTTCATTCTGACTTCAGTCCCTCTAATTCACTTTGTTAATAATTATAAGCTTGGCTTCAAAGAGGTATGTCGAATGTGGGGGGAGATGTCACGTCGTCAGATTCTACTCATTCAGGGAGGGCTTTGACGAATTCAATACCGGCGTAACAGAATTTGTGATTTGATGTAGGGTGCTTTGATATATTTCCTTATGCATCTTTACATACTCAGTAATCCACATCAGATGTCTTTCTGCATTATTAACAAACTGATCCACTATACAGCCACCGAGGTACCCCAGGAACCAGAGGAAGGCATATGAATCCCCAGTAGTAGCTTCATGATTCTTATTAACACACACCACTCTTGAAACATCAGTAAAATTTTTTTATCGTTCTCATATTCTACCATTCAAGGGAAGCGAATGAGGCAAACGAATTCTAGTAGTGACTTTAGCCTCTATGTCGAAGAAATGGAAGTCTAGTAGCGCATTTGGAAAGATATGGTCTCCTTGCCACCAACGTGGTTGTCAAATCACAGGAGAATTCAATGGTTCACATTGAAAGAGGCTCATCAGCAAGACAGATTCATTCAGTAAGATTGCACACACCCTTAAATAGACACCCAGACCCTCATTGTGAAGGCGTCCGCCGCCCCACCTCGGCTTACTCACATAGAGTTGCCAAATGAACCCTTCCTGCTATTAATTTGAAGACTGAGCCACGCTGCCGAAATCTGTCTACGCCACCTATATAACCCCCTTGCCTGAAGATACACGCATCCGGGCCTGCAAGCATGTTGTTTCCGAAAGGGGTATGATTAATACCGCTGTCGCACGATTAGGCCGCCACGTGAAGATACACACTCACACACAAATTTGGGTTTTTGGAGGTCGTGTTTATCTATGGTGAGAGGTTGTTCCTCACCCTCCTCCCCTCCCCTCCCCGTCGGTGGATAAACAATCTGAAGTGAGTTTGTAAAGCGGAAGAACACTGCTGACGCCAACTTGGTGGTAGCACCTTCATGAGGTCGGTAGATGGACCCATTTCGGTCATGTTTTATCAACATTTCTCTCTCCTGTGACTCCAAAGCATGGTGTGACCTGTCCAGCCGACCTCATGGCAACTTCTCCATTTCCCAGGGCACAAAAATCGCTTAGCGAGTTAGGAGTTATTGAGAAGAATTACACTTTTTTATTTGTATCTAATGCTGGTGTAAACAGCTTCGGTCCATTACGAGCCTTCGCCTCCAACCCGGCTCCGCATGAATTGGCGCTGATGTTTCCTTCCTCTCTAGTCCAGTAATAATAACCACCTCCAACCTTCCAAATTTAACCTCACTGGAGATAGTGAAGACGCCGTGGAGATGCGCAACACCCTTTATGTCCAACGAAGAACGCATCCACTTCGTAGAGGGAGGAAATTCCACACAAGGCAGGAGTCTACCGTAGTGACAATATGGTTACTCTCGT